GATCTCTTCTATATTATGCAAATGCCGTTTAATACTCTTAGTGGTTTTGCAAGGGAGACACATACCACAACCATAAAAACCTTTCAAGTCTTGAATAAAATGCTTCGGTTTCTGAGGATTTAAATGACTTTTAACTAAAATGTTCTTAAAATTTTTTGCTCCTCTATATACAATTTTTGGTCTCGGTGGTAGGATCTTATTCAAAATGGGATCGTCCTGAAGTAAGTGCCAATGTTTTTTTATAGTATGTTGTATACGTTTATTTTGCCCATTAAAATTACAAATAAAAGGAATTTTGTTCATATCCATTGATTTATTTTTAGATTTATACTGGATAAGGTTTTTTCTTTTGAGTTTGCCTACTTCATTTAGATCCTGATTTAGATGTGCTTCATCGTATCCCTTTTCCAAAAATTGCTTCTTAATGTAATTGGCCTGCTCTACATAATCTGTGTCTAGCTGGCAATTTCGTCTAAGCCTAATAAATTGGCTCTTAGGGGCATTCTTGAGCCAGGGTAAATGATGGCAGCTATTTCTTTTTATATAGCTATTGGCATCTATAGGTTTGAAATTATTTTTTGTGACAACTGTAGAGTTTTGTATATAAATGTCTAAATCTAAAAAGGTAATATGCGAATCACTGAAAGTACTGGTTAAATGAATCCCATAATTGTTGGTATTTAGATGTTTAATAAACTCCTGTAAAACTTCCGTAGTTCCATTCCATATGAAGAAGATATCATCAATAAATCGATAGTATGTGATTATATTTCTCTTCCACTGAAGTTCTTTGAATACGAATGTTTCCTCCCAAAATGCCATAAAAAGATTGGCATAGCTTGGGGCAAATTTCGTGCCCATCGCAGTACCACAAATTTGTAGGTAAAAGGAGTTTTTAAACCAAAAATAATTATGGGTTAAAATCAATAAAATTACTTCTAAAATATATTCAATCTGTTCTACTTTAAAATCTGATTTCTCTAAAAAGTATTTCACAGCTGCCAATCCTTTTTCATGCGGAATGATACTATACAGGGAGGTCACATCACATGTGGCCAAAATATTGCCCTGTGTCCATTCTATGCATTCTAAAATCTGTAAAATATGAATAGTGTCTTTGAGGTAAGTAGGGTTCTTTATAACTATGGGTTGGAGGATAGTGTCTATATATTCTGAAATCCGTGTAGAAATTGAATCTATGCCCGAAATAATTGGTCTTCCAGGTGGATTTTCTACATCCTTATGTATTTTAGGGAGGAGATAGAATACTGGTATTTTCGGATTGTCTATCCATAAATAATCAGCTTCTTTATCTATCAGTATTCCTATTTCTCTTCCTTTATCTACATATTGCTTAACCCCTTAAGGACACAACTTCTGGAATAAAAGGGAATCATGACGGAATATTTCCGTCATGTGTCCTTAAGGGGTTAAATATATATATTGTTTCGTTCGTAGGATTATGAGAGAATTTTTGATAAGTTAAAGTGTCAGAGAGTATTCTCTCTGCTTCTTTTACATATTGATCTTTACTTAAAATCACTATTCCTCCCCCCTTGTCGGCAGGTTTAATAACCAAATTTTCATCATTTTTAATATTTTTTAGAGCCTTTTTTCTTTTATTGTTAGATTTTGCTGATATTTATTAGTTTTTTTGAATTTTTCTATATCTTTCATAACCATAGTCTCAAACGTTTTAATTTCGTTGGAAATTAGATGTCTAGGAAAAAAATTAGATTTCTTTTTTAATGGTGTATGAAAATATTCATCTTCCTGTGGCTCCTGCTGATGTTTCTCCCTATTTGAAAAGAATTTTTTAAGGCATAATTTCCTAATAAAAAAAATTAATATCTACAAAAAAATCAAAATGGTTGAAAGTGGCTGTTGGGACAAATTTGAAGTCTTTCTTTAGAACTTCAGTCTGATCAGTAGTTAGAATTTGATTAGACAGATTGAATATTCCTTCTAAATTGAAGTTTTGCCCCTCTTCTCTCTGTGTTGTGTTCTTCTTTCCTCTCTGTCTCCTTCTTCTTCTGCTGATCTTTGTCTTTTCCCCTGCACATCCCAAGATTGGGTTTGGTCCATCCACTTCCTTCTGTTTTGTATGAGGTCCCGTCGAAAAAAAGAAGGTGAAGGGGGAGTGTCAGGGGGCGGTGATAAGGTTGGACTATGATTCCTAATAGTCCGATGAGGAGAATGAGGTCTCTCAACAGGAGTAGGAGATGAGGCTAGTTTGCTGGTATTCTTGAGTGATGATTTATGTATCCCTTTTCTAACAGCATCACTATATCTTATAGGATGAGTGTATTCTGTAGCGTGATTGTTAGTTGATCTTATATTGGGGTAGTGTTGTGTCCTACTGGGGGAAGGTGGGGCTGCAGCTATTTTATGGTAACGGAGAGTAGTGGGTGAGTGGCGTAGATTAGATGGCGCTTTATCTCTAGGTCTCTCTGTTCTCTTATTATATGAAGTAGTTTTAAAATGTCTTTGTTGAATCATTTTATTAGACCTATAAGGCAGGTATTCTGTAGTGTGATGAGTTTTAATTGCGGGTAAGCGCTGAGGGCGATTTCTATAATTTGATTGTGGCCTCTGTTGGGGGTCATTTTGATGCTGATGAATCTTGTTGAAATTTCTTACATTTCCTGTCTGATAGTCTGTGATATCTCTTATATATTTTTTCTTTTTAATTTCTATAACATCTGATTCAATTTTATCTACTTTATCTTGAATTTCTCTTAAAGTACTGTTATAAATTTCTGGACTTGTGGATTCTGATAGGGAATTTTTCCATTTATTTATTTCTTCATTTAATTTAGGGAGGGTTTCTTCCCTCCTTGCTACTATGTAGCCCATTGTACTAAATGAGAATCCATCTAAGAGTTTATCCCAACCTGCCATGAAGTGTGGGTCTTCCCTATCAAAGCTAGGGTCTTTGTGAAAACGAAGGCCCCTAGGAGTAATTTGGTCCCGAACGTACTTTTAAAGGGTCGCTATTTCCCATTTTACCTTCATCTCTTTTATAAGTACTTTTTCCAAGTTGAATCTTGATTTATTATTATCATTATATTGTATAGTAGGGTTTGACCCTGCAATCCCTGCGAAACATGAGTCAATATTTTGGGTACGGTATTCTCTATTTTCCCAAAATGACATAACAATGTGGTGTTCACTACAAATACTAAAAAGGGAATTATATCAAAGATACAATGAACATACAACAAAGTGATAGAATTATAGTTGAACCCACAATAATAAAAAGTCCTCTGAAAACACCTTAGTGAGAGTCCCTTTTACCTCACAAATAAATACAAATACATACAATTAAAGGTGGAGTTTTTTTTATTATTGTGGGTTCAACTATAATTCTATCACTTTGTTGTATGTTCATTGTCCTGCAAGCAATTACTAAAAATGCTCTCTTGTGCTGTATTTGTGCACATAACATGTATGCTAACTATGCCTTAAACTGATATTAGAATGTAAGAGCTTCGAAGTTTTGGGAAACTCCCACTGTACTGTTTTGAAGACTGACATATGTTGTAACATGTAATAATGCTACCCATGGAGGCCTGCGAGCCTAATTCTTTTTCTTCAATAAAAACAGATTTAAAAAAAAATAAATAAATAACTCCATACATCTGCCTTGAACACTGCAGCGCCACTCCAAACAAGCACCTCAAGGAGGACCCGCCCTCAACCATGGCATACTAAATCAACACGCTACCTGCAAAGATGCTCCCGTTGTGCTGAACGCTCCTGGAGGAAGTCTCGCACCCAGTCAGACTTTCTCCATTATAGATTCATATTGTGTTCATACAGTGCAGCCCTTGCCCTTGCCAAACAGTCCTATTTTTCCTCTCTCATTAGTTCATGTTCCCGCAACCCCAGGCGTGTCTTTGACACCTTTAATTCTCTTCTTCGCCCCGCTGTGGCCACCCCCTTGTGGCCACCTTCTCTTCTTCGCCCCGCTGTGGACATTTCCACTTAGAGGTTTACTCACTTTCGTTGCCAACAGTTTAGACATTAATGGCTGTATGTTGAGTTATTTTGAGAGGACAGCAAATTTACACTGTTATACAGGCTGTACACTTACTACTTTACATTGTAACAGAGTTTCAATTCTGCAGTGTAGTCACATGTAAAGATATAATAAAATATTTACAAAAATGTGAGGGGTGTACTCACTTTTGTGAGATACTGTATATCTCTCTTCTTTCCCATATATTTGTAGATGTATCAAATTATATTTATACATTTACTTAAAGGCAAGTGACCATGTAGCAACTTACCTCTACATTGGTTGACTCATTGAAGAATCAACACAAGTACTAGGCATGTGCATGGGGAAAACTTTTGGTTCGGCATTCCGAAATTCGGGATTTTCACAATTCGAGAACTTCGGCACTTCTATTGCAGCCGCTTAGTAGATAACTCCCTAATTCCCATGGTATTAGGGAGTTATCTACCAAAAGGCTGAAAGACCTAATTTGGTCTTTCAGCCAAATTTACTAATACTAAGCAAAAATTACTTAGTATTAGTAAATTTTGCCCCACCCCTGAGCGGCAGGTGGGGGCCCAGAGGAGGACAATAGGCCTCCCCCCATTATTTTACATTAGGGCCTCCACCCGCCGCTCAGGGGTGGGGGCCGGGGTGGACAATGGGCAATTTTTTTTTTTTAAAACAGTGAGCAGCCACAGGCGGTATAGCGAGTAGGGGCATAATTTACTAATACTAAGAAATCTTTACATAGTATTAGTAAATTTGGCTGAAAGGCCAATTTAGGTTTTCAGCCTTTTAGTAGATAGCTCCCTAATACCGTGGGAATTAGGGATTTATCTACTTATTCATTCCTGTCATTACATTGACAGGCTAAGTAACTTACATTTTATATGAATGTGTGTTACTTGATTGTTGTAAGTGTTGCAAATGCTTACAGCTGAATCCTGGCTATGTTTGTATACTTTTTATTTAAAATTGTATACAATGTAACATTCTTCTTTCACTGGGTAAGTATATTAGTACTTAGGCAATACAGTGCTTCGGAACTTTGGCACTTCGAAAATTTGGTAATTTCTGAACTTCGGCAATTTGGACATTCGGAAGTACCCGAATGTCCGAATTGCCTGAAATTCGTCCGAATTCATATTCGGACCGAAACGAATTGCACGTCTAATGAGTACAGATGGGCCAGGAACACAAAGACTGTCTGGATAATAAATCTGCATTTGTACTTTCCTTGTGTGCCAATCCCTGCTGTATTTGTGCTGTGTGAGAGGAGTAATGATGCTCTAGACCAGGAGACAGCAACCTATGGCATTTGAGGTGTCTTTGCACAGAACTCAAGGCTGCCAGAGCCAAACAAGATCTGGCCTATCAGGAGTCCCAGTGGGACTTTAGATAATTGCTAGTGCAAACTGTGCAGTGATCTCAGATCACTTCCTCTCGGCACTTGTGAACGGGATCCCCACTGGAGTAGAGCAGCCCGCAGCAGCTATCGAAGCTCATGCCACTAACCTTTACCTGGTCAGCCCGGTCCCCACTGGACCTCAAGGAAGCCACCCACACTGCTAGATATACACAGAGCTGCAGAAGATGCCTCTTCCTCATACAAATAATAAAACAGCCCACACACACAGTCCCCACAAACACAACACTATTAACAATCCACATACACGCACAAACCCCACAAGCAGCCCCCATACAACCCACATTAATAGGTTTCATTCACAATACTACAAACTACTCATGAAAATATACAAAATTACAGTAATAAGAATAAAAAAATAAAAACAGGTTGTTCCAACAGCACAAATTAATTAACATTTTATATACTCACTTTTTAGTTTCTTTGTCTTGTTTTTATTTTATATTTTAACACATTGACTATTCGCTATTTTAATTTTTTGATTTGTATTACTTAGTATTTCTAGTAGCTTTCTGTTTGGTTATTACGCACTAACCCTTTGCTTTTTTTTTTCATATACAATATAATAGCACACAAATACAAATATACAAAGCAACTGCAGCACTCATAATAACACAAGCAGAATACTGCAAGTTACACACCTCCATTTCATTAAATAGGATGGGTAATCCAAGGGATTTCAAGATCTTATTTAGGCACAGTACTTGGTTGCCTACCCCTACTCTAGACCATGAGACATCTTGTGTTTTGCCCATTCTTAAAAGTGTGTGCCATGTCTTACTGTACTCACTCTGACCCACTGGTTGTGCAAGTGGCAAGTCATTAAAAAATATTCACCCCTACATGCAAGGATCCCAGGATAACCTAAAAAATAGGAATGAGTCAGAATCGGCCACACATGTTAGGAGGGTAAGAGATTAAAATATAGGGGTTGAATGCAGCCACTAACAACTAACAGGCTGAACATAGGACTCATCTCCACATCACAACAAGCCATAGGCCAAATACCACATTGATACTGACTCCACAAAGCCAACAGGCTCCTTGGCCTTCTTTAACTCCTCTTCCTTCTAAGTGGACCTGCGATATATTATCTGGAAGCAGAGCCCCAACCTACACCCAAAATACTTCCAAAAGAAGGTCTTAGTATACAGGGCACCACCATGCCTATTTCCTACTAATAATGCTGCTTCTCTGGCAGATTACATCACTACCTGAACTTTCTTTGACCTCCAACATCATCAGAAGTGGTGGCCTGATCCAATCACAATGCTTCCCCATAGGATTTGCTGAGACTGACAAGGAGGCAGATCGGGGCAGAGCCAGCACAATTCAAACACAGCCCTGGCCAATCAGCACCTCCTCATAGAGATGAATTTAAACAATGAATCTCTATGAGGAAAGTTCAGTGTCTGCATGCAGAGGGAGGAGATACTGAATGTTTGGATGCATTTTAGGCAGCCATGACCCAGGAAGGATCTCTAACAGCCATCTGAAGAGTGGCCAGTGAAGTTATCACTAGGCTGTAATGTAAACACTGCATTTTCTCTGAAAAGACAGTGTTTACAGCAAAAAGGCCTGAAGGTAATGATTCTACTCACCAGAACAAATTCAATAAGCTGTAGTTCTGGTGACTTTAATGTTCCTTTAATACTCATTACATTTTGGTGTCCCCGGCATCCTTCTCTGCTCCCCTGGCTTCTGCATTCACCCTGCTCTCTCCTCACCTTACACACTTTGTTCACAATCAAAGACATCCTAATGTAAAGCCTTGATTGATCTGTGAAAGTCTGTGCTGGGGAAAAAAAGGGAGGACTTACAAAAGCTGCAAACAGAAAATCTGCAGCTTTTGCGATCTGATTTCAGATATATTTCCAATGAAAATCTGCATGAATGTTTTTATTGGGGTTATAGTGATTTTTTTATTCATATTTTTCGAGTGGAATGTTCCTTTAAAGGGAAACCGTCACGCTGCAATCTCATTAAAGAGGTGGAGGTTACACTTTCGGTTCACCTGTGCTCTTCCTCTGGTTGATTTGCCCTGCTTGGGGACACTTCCCCAAGTAGAGAAAACCCCCTCCCTGATGTTTTGTTGCATGCTTGCTTGCGTCTGAACAGAGTGACATCACGCTACTTTATTCTTATACCCCCTAAAAAGCACATACGCAGTGGATGATATGGGTGGAGAGCAGAGGGATATCCTGTAGGAGGTCTCTTCTGCTCTCCCTGGCTCTTAATTGCTCAGCATTCAGTGTCTGTTTAGGAATCGAGAGTGAGATGGGAAGAAGATCAATTTTTAAATAGTTTCCTTTTCTCCAAATCTATACATTTGTTATCAATACTGCTAGCACAATATATACAGATAGAATTTTAAGCTCTTTTAAAAGAGCTAACGTTCATTACATCATGACAGGTTCCCTTTAAGCAATAACATTTTATCTACGTGACTGCAAGGCTTTTAACCTGTACCTGAGATAGTTCTTTTTATCTAAATAGTGCATGACAAATACAATTTAATAATGCATGCACCCAGATAAAATACACTCAAAAAGAATCAATGAAAGTTTCTTGATTGTGTCGCAATTGTAAGCAAATTACCAAACGTCTTCAGAGCCTGGATGGGAGTGTAAGATGTTAATTGCTTGATTATATCCACCAAAAGCGCAAATAAAACCTAAATGTGACAGTGCAGCTACGGTTTGAGAAGCATATTATAAGATATATATATAGATCAGTGTTCATTTTTGATCCAGAGTCAGCTGTGAACTGTAAGAAGTCTTAGAAGAATTAGGACAGAATTATGGTAGCTGCTCATTCATTTAAACGCAACAAAAGTTTTGTAGTATATTCTAGATCCCCTCCCAAAACAACCATAATAAGTAACAAAAAAAAAAAAAAAAAAACTGGGTCCTGTTTGTCCTTTCATTAGACCTTTAATTTAAATAAAGCTGCATTTGGTATACTTTATTAATTTTGGATTAAGTTATTGTAGTATTGGTTCAATTCAACTAGACGGACGGTGTAGGTGATCAATGGCAAACCATTGCAGGGCAGATGCTTGCAAGGGAAATTTGCTATCATGCTTTGCACATTTTGAGCCTGGCTGATCATCTTGAAAGCTCACCTCCCAATTATTGGCATGTGTAGCCATCAATGAAACATGTTAAACATTTTGCAGTAAGTTACTTTTTTCTGCCTATAGACATTTAAACAATTTGAAGATCATCAACATATTTTTGGAACATCTCTGGGCTCCAACCTCCTCTCCCTTCAAAACACTTATTTTATATACACCATGAATCTCTCACCAAATGTCCTTTGATGGCATTTTCTAACGCACAAGTATGTAAAAAAGATCTGCATTTACATCATGTATTTCTGAGTCTGTATTGTATCTGATCACGTTTCCAAGCTAAACAAATTAGTAGGATGTTTGATTCCGTACAAATACACCTGTTACATAGAAATGGGCAAAAATTAACCCATGACAGGAACACAACTGAGAATAGGATTCCAACCACGCTTCAGTCATCAACGATGGGCGGGGGAGCGAGGTGCAGCTGGAAATTCTCATTCTGGAAAACGCTGCTTGAGGTGGGGCCTCCGTGAAATGGATTGTAGCCCCTAGATTTCTCGGGGCTTTGAGAGCGACAAAGCTCACTCAATAAAGCCAACTGCAAGAGAGAGAGAGGGAAAAAATGGTGATCTTTCTCTAGCGAACAAATGGTCCTTTAAACTGTACATGCAAAAATATATATTTATAGATTCATTTTGATGGAGCACTTTCTTTACAGCTGATGACAAAGAAAAAAAAATCCCTAAAGACAAAAGAAAAAAAAAATCCAAAAACAAACCTTTTTTCGATCCCGCGGATAATCCTTAGCTACAATTAGATGAATATATTTTCTGCACAGCGAGACACAATTGTGTAAAACACAGAGCTTTTTTCCTTATTCACACATCAGTCTGTACATTTTTATACCTTTTTATGAAGTATATAAAATGCACAAAGGGAAATGAGCTAAATTTCAAGTTGGCGACCTGCAGGCTGTAAGTGCTTCAATTCAGAGGAATAAGAAATAACGCCACACACTCCTGCAAGCTCTATTCGCTCCCCTCCCATGAAATTAGAGGTTTCCCTTGTCTAATATTAACGGCGAAAAAATAAAAGAAGAGACCAAGAGAAGATTTCTGAGAACTACTCGCCTTGATGCCTGAGCATCATAGGAAATGTAGTTCACTGTGTCACATTTAGCCATCAATTGGCTAGAACCAGCTCATCATTCAGCTGTCAATATGTATGTGCATATGTTTTAGCTTGTCTGCTTAGTTATCACACACACATATTAACTATGAAAATTTCACTAAAACCAAATAAAAAAATAAAAAAATTACTTGCACACTATTCCAAATCCATGTGCAAATGTATATAAATGGAGGTGTTTAGTTCCATTCCAATGGGCACTGGAATTAAAAACCTCAATTTATTTAAATCTGTACAGAGATTTGGGCTAGTGTACAGGTGAGGTAACATTTTTCTTTGGTTTTTATTGTATGTATTGGGGTTGATGTATATTATTTTCATTGCTGCCATCTAGGAGTAGTGGGAGTTTGAGCGCAGGACTTAATTTTGTGTATTTATAAAATTGTCACTGTTGAAACCGTGAGTTGTAAAGTAGGAATGTTGTTGTTATGAAGCTGAAGACATAGGAGGGCCGCATCATCTTCTAATCAGAGGGCCGCGTCATTAAATCGCAGGGTACAGCATTTCACATG